TCGTTAGATGCCAATCATAAAAAATGTACTCATGTTCTATATTGACTCTATGGTTACTGTGTAAAATCGGCAAACTGATCAATGTTTTGAAGGGGGGACGAGGAGGCAAAAAACTCATTTTTGTGATCCTTTCGACAGCACAAATAGGGTGCTTAGATGGTGCAGTCAACTTATTTGTTGGTTTAAAATGAACATCTCCAAAGTCTAGGATACACTGCAGTCGTTAGCTCGAATTAGTTACAAAAACAACAGTGTAAGAACATTCATTTGAAAGAAAACACTATTTGCAAAAAAATAAGCATGACTTCGGGAAGCAAAACCACCTGGCTGGAATGAAGAGGGAGCACTGCTACTGCGCCGCGGCGACCCTTATAGCGGCTGCGGGCAAATGCGCGTTTCAACTGGCGCTATCTCTCCATGCTTCGAGCACGCAAACATTGAGTGCTGAAAACGTTTTTGATAGAAGACTCATTCAACAATTTTGATTCCTACATCTGGGAATAGTATCAGAACTTCTATCTATAGACCTGAACCTTTCATCAAAGTCCATGAGAAGTTGATACCTTCCCCTAGTAAGTTACGTAGGATCTATTTGAAAACAACTAATATATTTCAAATTCACAAGGACGTCACAGAAGGGCTACTATGAATGTTTGCATTGATTTCGCTTCACGGTTCCTTCGCTGTTTAGTTAGGCATCTTCGAAGACTCTAGTGAAAAAAAAGAAAAGAAAAAAGAAAGAAAGAAAAGAAAGTAGTACACAAGAAGGAATTTAATAACGGAAAGCTCAGATGCATGCACTCTACAGAGTAATAGAGGCAGCTACGAGCATTTCGAATTCAAGCAATAAGATTCTGAAGAGCAATACACCAAGAACGCGACCAAGAACTTCCTGAAAATGAGATCAAGAAACTTCATTAAAAATGTAGCTCGCTCGTCATTCAAGCACAGCACGATTTTCTTAGAACGCCTCGAAAGCGCACATGAAATTTCGAGGCGTCCTAGGAAAATCGTACTGTGCTTGAATAACGAGCGAGCTATATTTCTATTGGAGTTTCTTGGTTTCGCTTTCAGAAAGACACCGCGTTCTTAATCTAATGTTCTTCAGAGATATTCGGCGTATGAGTTTCGAATTGCCTTGATATTGCACTGCCAATAAACGTACGTCGATGAGTGAGGGTGAATTTCGGTAGAATGGAGGCTATAGGTGATAGAAAGAAAGCAATAGGCGCAAAGCGAAGATAGCCGGTGACGCTGTCCATCTATAACACGAAGTCGCTAGTTTATGCGGAAGGCTATTAAGGAAAAAGGAAGTCCCTCTCAGATCAATTGATAGCAACCCTTATAATCAGCGCTCGATTCTTCGTGTTGGAGGCACTTTTCCTTCTCATACGATGCTTCCATCTACTTTTCGGCTTTTACACTTTGTGCGTTATTTATTGAATAGGTTTTTCAGATGACCATCTCGGAGAAGCCTTTCAGCTGATTGCTTGTGAGCGATATGAGCTAAGTTTGAAGGCCTGTTACGCTTCAGAGGCTTCGGAAAATCTGCCGACTGAATCCTGCTCATTTAGCAAAATGTTGAATTATCAGAACAAGATTGTTCCCCTTAGATTTAAGCGAGCATCTCGCTCAATATATTTCATTTGAGCAGAAATTTTAGCGGTTGATCACAGCCACGTCCAACTCAGTGCAGACGTTTCCCAAGTATAGAAGTTTGGCCAGCCTCTTCTAACTGTCTCTAACATTTTGTCCGCATTCTATAAAGTTTTCAAACAGATTTGCAAACTCGGCCCCTTCGATCTGAGTTTCGCTCACTTCAAGGGCAACCTGCCCAGTTCGAGGATTTATCTAATGTTTATGGAGAAAGTTGTGAATTTTTGATCTACCCCCCCCCCTTCAGTGTAAACCCGCCCACTTTGGGGATTTGACCACATTTGTTCCATTTTCTTTACCCGCTTTTTCCCGCGTTCTAGAAAGTTTATGAACACAGATATGAACTTCTTACCTTAGCCCTGTCCACCTTGGTGTAATTTCGCTCA